ATGTAAAATTTAAATGCGAATGCAAAATTTAAACGTGTTTAAATAAATTCTCTTAAAATCTCTAAATATGACGACAATATTTGATCTATCTTAATGTCATATTTGATTATTTATCGAATTATTCGTTTCCAAATATATGCATTATTGTTTACAATTCATTTGAGTCCTGCATGCAAATTGTTCTATATGTTACTGTTTACGGTGTACCTAATCAGATTGACTTTCGATGGTACTTAATTAAATGATAGCTTAATGAATTCGTATAGGACCGAATTTATATTAAGCTTTTTTAAGTGCTGCTCATTTCGAAATTATCGTGCCATATTATTAATATGATGCGATGAGATGGAAAACATAATAATGTTAATTATTAACAATATCTTTTATATTTAGGTCACTTCTTTTTGCGGTTTTACAAGTTTGATTTTGTAACAATTTTTTAAAATATACTACAAATATAATACAAATAAATATAATACAAAAAGCGAGTCAGGCGCGATAGGCGTAACAATTTATTATTTGATACTATAACTAGGAAAATATACGAAGGAAAGGAAAATTAATAGCAAAAGAAAGTTGCAATTTTAGCGAATATGCATTATTATATTTTTTTACAAATTGATAACAGTATCGTTGAAACTTAAACCTAAATAAACGCCTGCTTTCGTACAATGATTATATTGTCGAAATCATTACTAGTTTACGATCGTATTTCGCCCATTCGATAATTGTAATTGTCGCTTGGACGAATAACGAACATTAAATTATTCGTCAGTGATTGAAAGATATCCATGTACCACGTGTCCATTGTGACCTTTTGACAAAGGACAAATATTCCAAATCTGACGAGATCATCCCACGTAGATAATCCTGTGTGGCAGCAAAATATTTCGCTAACAAGCTAAACAAGACTGCGGAGAATTAAGTCTGCGCTGTTTTCAAAAATGAGATCACGTCCTGTGTAACCAGATTAATAAGGATGAGTGGTCGGCATCGTGCCATCTCAAACGAAGACGGATGCGAATTAAGGTTGTCCACGCACGACATGTTGTTTAATAATGAATATGATCCTCAAGGCAGAAGTATCGCAAATATCGTGATTATATCGCGTTAGTTCACGTTTATCTTCGTTTACGTGACTTTATTCGAAGGACTTAATAATGCGGCGTTCTTACAGACCATGTTATCCCATGACAAACGTCGTTTTCTAATTGAGTTAACGATACATTTATGATACTTGTTTTTGACACAACTAGACTATCCGCAATCCGTATTTCGCTTTGAGAGAATCATTCGAATATATTCAAGATAATACAGACGGTAGAACTTCATCAAAATTAATTAACTATGATTTATACACTTTCTCTAAATTTGTTTTGTAAAGTTAATGATTTTTATATTATGATATAATAAAAAATAATGTATTTAATTAACATTTATTATAATTTTTTATTGGAAATTGCGATTTTCTTAAGTGAAAAGATGATCTTCGATGTTCACGTGTAATCGAATCAATTTTCGAGTTACGGAAACCGAATCTTATTAAACGCGTAGCAATCCATTTGCATAATTTCCGCAATTACGATGGCCGCTAATTAACTAAAATCGGTTGTGTGCGACATTATTATCGTGTGTGCCCCATTGTCGGTACTGTCTACTCTCACTCAGAGAGTGAATTCTTTGATAAATTTTGTATTAATACGCGAATATCAAATGATATTCCCACACATTCATACCTACATACGTAGGTCAAATTATTAAACATGAAAGAAGGTCGTTTTTAGACACCATATTCCCCACTTATTTAATAATAATAAGATAAGCATAAGAACAGATTACTGAAAAATTTTTACAATTTACCAAGAGTACGTCAGCAAAAAAATCGTTATAAATATTATTAAATATACATGAAAATATTATTATAGGCATCAAAATCTGTTTTAACCGAATATGATCTTCGCTTATTTATGTTGAATATTTTTCAGTCGATTTTCATTCAACAGTGATTATTAGAAATATTTCAGTCAATAGATAAGGAATTTAAAAAAATAAAAAATAAAAAAAGCCTCGCTGAAAAAAACAAAAAATAAATAACGTTATCTGCATCTGCTGTTCTATCGCAGCTCTCTTCAACTTATCAAGAATCTTTTTGTGTGAAGATTTAATATCTTCTTTGTCGCGTAGTATTTTTATTGTCTTAAGCGGTAAAGGGCGTTCGAGGGAACATACCTGGAGGCATCATTATTATTAAACGATTATCTCGGTTATCAGAATATCGTTCGTGCTAAACTGTTATTATACAATGAAACTTCTCGCGTAATAATAATCAAGCGGGGGGTTTTCCAATTATGTTTCTTATCACCCTTCTATACGAAGCAAAGAGATATATGTAAAATACTATTCATCGATTACAATCAGCTTGAATGATGACCGATCAGAGTTAGATGTAACGTGTGTTTAATCAAAGTTACTTTACTAGATAATTGTAATTTTAGAGGGAAGAAAGTTCGGCTGCATTAGAAACAATTCCTTACACTTTCTTAATAAAGCTTGACATTTTCTGTTATCGCGTCTTATATATAATTCCACAGCTGAAGCATACTTTGTGTAATTGCTGGATTCTCTTTTACTTTGCTCAGATAATTGTATTTCTCTGAAAAGGAGTACTATAAAATTGCGTGAAAAGAGCTGACTGATAGAGCAGCTGATCTGAAAATACGAAACAGAGGAAGAGAAACGAATATCAATAATGAAATTAAAATATGTTACAGCAAAATAAGAGAAGAAAGTCTAAAATTTCTGAAGTACGCAATTGGAAATGATTTAATTACCGTTTGTCAGTATCTGATTGCATATTCGCATACGGTTTCGAATGAGTTTATCAACGGATTTCTTCGACAAGGAAACATTCTAACGGAGACGTTAACCTTTATTCTTTTCTGCTTTGTATTTGTCGAGCATTTATTTGTTGAATGTGCAGAATTATGAAATGTGCGTTTCTTCACGTTTACTATTAAGCAATTTAAAAAATATATACGCAAAGTTTAATTATCAAAATCTTTTTACTGTGTACTGAAAAATCATTTTTCTAAATTAACACAGGAAAGGAAGTAGTTTCGCGTGTTGTATAAATGTACGTCGATTCATAGCGAAGAGAAAAAGTTCGCGCTCGAGATAATCCATTGTAAGATTAGCAGAAGTTCATGAGATAGAGGGAGAAAAGAAGAAAGAGAAAAAGAGTAAAATTAATACGTGCTACTCGCGAGACCTATTTATTCATTGATCGATTACAAACAAGTATCAAGAAATAATCTTTTAAAAGGTTCCCCAGGAACGAAGAAAATTCATTTTTGTATTCTAAAAATGCTCTTACGAGACGACTCTTTACGACATGTGTGCTACGTGCGTTCAACTTCGTTCAATCACACCGAAGACCGACAATAACGGGGATTCGACCAACCACGGAAAAGACGATGTATTAAAATAAAAGCGGTAAAACATTCTTGTGCAAAAAAAGACTTGTCCCGTTGCATCCTTTTTTTTATTATAGAATTCACTGTTATATTTTTCTCTCTGAGTATCATTAGCTGACAAAGCTTTCTTGATAAAATTTAAAAAATCTATAATAAAATAATAATTTATATTATTAAAAAAAATTTTTTTATACACTTCCAATGTGAGGATTTTGTTTGCTCAGTTTTTTAAGACAAATTTTGAAAGTTTTCTTTCATATAATTTGTGAGGCTGAGGTTCAGCTTAAATTAACATATCTGCAATGTTGTTTCACGAATTTTTACAATTACACTGAATTTTTCTAATCGGATTTTCTTAATAGGAATTCAGAGATTGTTTAAAGCTTATTTAATATCTATAAATACTTCGTGATAAGGATTCTGTTGCAAGAGAGATCCGAGAGCTCTTCGTTATAAAAGAGATCCGAAGTCACAACTTGTATAAATATAGATTACATCGTCGCCTAAAGCTAAGTTGCAATCAAATAATTTTCTGATCTGATCACAAACTTTACGCAATGAACAGAGTCCATCGGTTGCTCTATTACGTAACGCGGGCAAAACGCTCGCCATCGGCGCTGTTTAGCGCTAAATGTAACTGAACGCGATATCGTTGAATATATGATATTCCGCAAATATTAGACCGATTTACGTTGGAATTGGATAAACGAAATTCAAAATTAGACTAGCTTTGTACACGAAATGTGGAACACAGGGTGGCATACGCCTCCAAAATTTATCTGACAACTTCGCTCCCCGACCTTTTCCCTTTGTCGGCACAGTCGCGAGCGGAAAATCGAGTAAAGTCCAGAAAGCGTGGGCAAACCTTTGCGGCCATCACACAACGAGAGATTCTCCGAGAGAAATATAACACGATGCTGCAAATTGGCCGACATGAATGGCCGTATTTATTGTGTCGTTTTCGCCATATCGACAAATAAATAGCTGCGCGAATATCGATTTCGCACCAGATCGCCAGAAAGAACGGTTGCTATCCGCCGTTCTGTCATGAAGTTCCACCAAATGAAGTGACCTTTCTATCGTTATTCGTTAAGACGAGTCCTACTTTTTGCTTTCTTGTAAGGATACTTTTTTACGTCCTGTGAAATCGATTATATTTCATCAGCGGACGATCCGTTTTGCTTTCAAGAAGAACTATTCACCGATGTCAATTTGGCTGCGTCGATCTAAATCGGCTTAGCACTGATTGCCGTACTTTACGCTGCAAACTCATTACGAGCTCATTAAAATTTTGTCGATAACTTTGCACGAATCATTCTTCCTTCGACATTCTTGATTATCCTTACGTACTGACGCAAACACTCTGATCTTTTAAGGGGGTAATTAATAACTTGGGAGTTTATTAATAAACGAAAGGATTTAAAAGATTCGAAACAGAATGGAACTGCAAGTGTTTCCCTGTTACAATAATTCCATAATTTTTGCGCGTTACGCCGAGATTCATAGGTAATCTTAATTTCTTTGCAGACGTTTGTGCAGCGGTCCTTAATTATCTTCGCCATTCTCTTGTGCTATTATCAATCCTGGGTCGGCGCAGTGGATTGCGAGTAAGTGTCGTATTCATAGACTTCTTTCTTTTCCTCGTATCAGTAAGAAAAATGGAATCGTGGATATAAATGAGATTGCTGTTGCAGACAAGAACCCTATAACCCGGCATGTCGAGGTTCACAGGCGAGGAAGCGCCTGACACCCTTGCCAGTCATGCGCTCTTTAAACTGCGAAGATGGAGATTGCAGACTCCCCAGGATGAAATTCTTGATCGCGATTCTCGACGACGTAAGTAAAAGCTTTCGCTATTCGGACTAACAAAATTACAATACAATAAATGAGAGAGAAATAGAGAGAGAAAAAGACAAAGAGAGAAGGTGAAAGAAGAGGAATTTAATTTAACTTCTTTCCGTTTTGATCAAACTAGACCGATTTCTTCTCATTTTATGATACCTATTTCTAAATAAGATACAAAGATATAACTAGTTCAATATTTCAAAATTTTTTTATAAAAATTTAGCGGGAGAATTAAAGTTTGCTGGATATTAAAAAAGTCTAACTTATTAATATCTAAAGATTAAAGATTAAAAAGGATTAAATCCCAAAAAGGATTTAAAAAAGGAATAAATTATAAAATCAAATAACTACCCCCTGATAGCAAAATGTTAGCAATTTGGGGCCAAAAGGACAAAACCATAGCCATCTGTGTCCGCATTTAGCTATGGATTTATCGATAAAGCCTGCTGACAGGCTATGCCAGTAGATTGATGGCAGAAATCGAGCAGAATTGCTCGAATCAGGTTCTACTCTCAATCTGCTCTCAATTTGCCATCAGATTATGCAGGACTTTGTTCGGTTTCTGCTACCAATCTGCTGGCATAGCATGTCTAGCAGGCTTTATCATATTTCTGACAGCAATTTGCTGATCATGTCAGATAATATAAATTCTGTATACAATTTGTTGTCTTTTTGCAATCAAAAATTGATAGCAAGCCCTATTCAAAATCAATCTTCGCGTTTTGCTATCAGGGTAGTTATACATATCTCTCTTTCGCTTTTGTTTTTCTATTGAAATTTATTCACGATTTGAATTTTCCATTTACCTTATAAATTTTAATAAATTTTAATAAGAGTAATACCTTCAAGAGGTGTATAATAAAATAAAAATAATAATTAAATTGATCAAAACTAAAGCAAAAACGAATTAATTTTGATTAATTTTGATTAATTTTGATTAATTTTGATTAATCAATACGCATTAATTTAAATGAAATTAATTGATGGGCTTTTCCTTCATTTTAGCCTTCCTACAATGAGGTACACCCTTCCAACTCTGTCCACGCGCGCAAGGGCAGGATGCGAATAGATGAGACGAAGGATGTGTATTTGGATGACTATTGATTCGATTACTAAATTATGTCGACGCGATTCGCAGAGATGACTGACGAACTTTTCTGAGATATTACTCGTCCGTTCGATTATCGTTTATTGTATTATCTGGCTTGATTCTCTACCCGTGTTTTCCCTGATATCGCCTCTTCTCTTCTACTTCATTTTCTCGCAATTTTGGCAGCGATAATAAAGTACATGCGTGCACGCATATTTGTTAGCACTCTGACTTTTCAATAATAAACATTTGAATCGCACAACAGAAAAATATCAATTTACCGTCTTGATCTTGTAGAAAAGTAATTGTACGCACGCGAAATAATTACGATCTCCTTCGCGTCAACCCTTCAAGCATCTCGTTATATTCTTAAATGTGGCGTAGAAAGATAAACACTTCAATAAATAGTATTGGACGTTCTAATTCGATTTTACGAGAAGTAGGCAAGGAGTTTACACCAGTTGTCACTTAATCTTGCTCTTTTACCCGGTGTAGTATACTTCAGCTCGCTCCAGTGTATATTTATTAATAATTTGAAAATTGTGCGAGATTATTAAATTACAAGCGTCATTAAATTTTAAACTGTCCTCACGATTGTTATTCCGCGAACATTTAATTCTCGCGCTGGAAGGATCGAAGTCAGTATAGTTAATTAAAGCCTATAAAACTTATATGCACATCCATACATGAGACGTGCATAATAATGATCGGCCACAATAGTGTTACTGTACATAAAGAGATGTAAAACGATAATTATACATATATATATATATATGTTGTTCTACATTATGTTTCGATTATATTTCAAATAAAGTATATGTACATACTTGATAAAAAAAAGGAGGTTTATTATATTATGCTTTGGGTGCAGCAGTTGCTAAACGTGTATTATTTGCATTGCACAACAGCTAATAAACTTCGATCACATCATCGATATATTTATTGCTGTGAAAGTTGTGAATCTTTTTGAAGAAGTGAAGCCTGCGATGCCTTACCACATTATTGCGCTATTAACAACTGTCATTAGGTATATTATTTTTATCATTTTTTTTGTGTATTAGATTAAACGTTAATCAGAGAGATAGAAAACTATTTGTAATATTTCATGAATTTTTATATGCTCTTCAAACTTGTGGAGATTGAGTTTAAGATATTGTAACTTATCAATGCATTAATTTAAAAAAAAACAATTGTTATAATAAGAATAAGGCTAAAATAGAGAGCCAAGCAAGGTCTTGATACTATATTATTAAATAACAAACAGAAAATTTATTAGAATATACGTTTTGACCTTAATCAGGTCATTCTCAATGTTAACAATATACAAATTTTAAAATTCAAACGGTATTAATTAATATCGTTGCTTTGATTATAACATTAAGAACAATAAATTCCAAAGAAATATATTATTAAATTGCTATTGTAGTCGTCAACGGATGTCTTAAAGTAGAATCAAGCGAAAGTAGCTAAAAGCATCCAAACAGAATAACAAGTCAATACGATATCAAAATGACTCCAAAATGATCATTAAAAGTCATTTTTCAATCATTTCCGATTTATTTTAATGCCATTTTGATGTTATCGTGACTTGTTGCTCTGCTTGGGATTATAGCTCGGAGTTTATTGTAATCAAAATAACGTTCAACAATTAAAAAGACTAAATTTCAAACTGAAGAATTGGTTGTAATTCATCGCAAAATTTTTTAAATATCAAATTATCCGAAAACGGCGTCTTGAGCTATCTTGTTAAAAGAAACTCAGTTTTTTAGATAAGAGAAATTTAATCTGAAAGTTGTACACCGAAAATGACTAACAAGAGAGAATAAGACGCTAGGTAGGAAAAGTGTGAAACGGGAGAGTGTACTAAAAAGCATTAAGGAAAGGAATATACTACAGCGACTGTAGTATCAGAAGATATAGATATGTCGGATAAAGACTACATATCGGTTTGTTTATTTAAACCTTGAAATTATAATCTCTTTATACCAGGTATGTAAATATGAAACCGGAATTTTTTAATAGAAAATACACGTTTATTGCATGAAAATGATAAAAAATATTTTATTCGAAGTATTGCCCACCGCTAGCTATACATTTTTCCCAT